TTCGAACAGTAAAGTTAGCCAAATGGAGTAACACCCTTGGTATATACAACTTARTTYTCTGTGATTTTTAGCACAAAATCCTTCTAACAATGATGATCGCGGTCGAAAACTTCTTGTAATACCCTGGGTCTTTACATCTTATTTCTCTGTAATTTTCAGCACAACCATCAGCACCTCAAGATATCAGGCCAACATTTCTAAATGCAACCTTAGCCGTCATAGAATGGAACATACCTTCCCATCTCGGTGGAAGATCAGACGAGTACTATGAAGTCGAGTGTGATAAGTGTAACAATGAAGGCAAAGCATGCAGTAATAGATGTGAGGGTGCGGAAGTCATCCATTTTCCAAAAGATACAAGAATAGCCACTGCAAAAAATCTCTCTGCCTACACATATTACCAGTTCAAAGTGTTTTCAAAAAATGGAGTCACACAATTAGCAGAGAAGAATGGCGAAAACCCAAAGTACTCAGTATTAATAAAAAGAACAAATGAATCCAGTAAGTTAAGCCTAATTTAGGTGACACGTTAAGTTATTTCTAAGTAATACCATGGAACGAGGGTAACTAGTGATTATCCGAGGTATCGGAAAAATTTAATCACTAATTTTACGAGTGACATGGTATTACTTTGTAATACTATGATCGGCGAGGAAGCAAGGAAACATCTTTGGTATCATGTCCAGTTTTCAAATCAAGGAAGCGTAAACAACGCCAAAATGCATAACTAGCTCATTAGCATATTGTAAACCTTGGCTTGATAATGATGTAATCAAACAAATAGTTTCCAAATACGTCTTCTCTTTTGTAATTTTAGTACTATTTCATACACTTGTTTTGTAGTCCCTTAGGATGCCAAAGATAATATTTATATCGCAGAATTAAAATTCGTATACAATGCAAAAACAACATGGCTGAGAGGTTTTCGTTTAGTACAGACAATGAAGTTCAATAAATTAAGATTGATTATATCAATTTGCTTCATTTCGAGTTGGCAAAAGTGTAAGTGCAATGTGGTGCTATACAAATGATTTCAAAAAAGTGATTTTTATAATAATTTTTATGTGACTGCACATAATACTGTCATAGGCATTTTCGTGTTTTAACTAAGAGCACAGGCATACGCAGCTAGGTAAAAACTGTCCCACATGTAAGACATGCTAGTGCCAGATGGTGTAGGACACTTGTGTTCAGTATAATCTCTTTCAAATGGTATCTAGTCTACTATATTTGCAATGTGCACTGCATTACGGAAGTATAATGGCAAAGGTACCCCAATTTTCCTCATGAATAAGATGAGGGAAATTTAGAAGAATGCAAGGGAAATTTAGTAAAAGACAATATATACTAAATTCCCCTTGCATAAATTGGGAAATTTACTAAAGACAAAAGAATCCTTTGTCTTCTAAATTTCCCTCATGTTATTCATGAGGGAAATTCGGGTTTGTAAATTCCTCGGAAGACAATGGAATCCGACGTGATCATGGTATTACATCAATTACGAAAACTTGCATTGTTTTGTATGTAATTGTTACTTTCAGTTCCTGGTGCACCATCTTTGAAAATAACATTCATGAGTTCCACTTCTTTGCTTGTAAGCTGGACCTTGACAGAGAAAAATGGTATAATAATTTTCTATCAAATCAGCTACTATCCTGTTGCAGACCAGTCAAATAAATACCTCTTGAACACTTCTGAAAGCAGCATCGCCATCACTGGACTTACTATGGGAATAGAATACTACATCAAGGTACTATCCTGGCAGTGATTTATACATAATCTTTTGATTATTTTTACATGATCGTTGTATACAGGTTCGAGCCGCTACAAAACGTGGCTTAGGACGTACCAGTAGTAAAAACTTTACCATAAATCAAGGTACACCTATTTTTAAAAATGCTGTATGAAATACAAGGGCATCTTATAGCCCGCCGCACGATAAGCGTAAGCGAGTCGCTATGGTCAGCGTTTTCCTCCTTGAATGTGCACCATGTTTGCTGTTTAGCTTTCCTGACGAGGCGAATCGCAGATTCGTTGTTGTGTTTGATTTTTTTTGCCTTTTGTGACCAAAATAGCCCACGCTCTGCCAATCAAGTTCCAGTTGATAGTTTTTTTGTCTTGAAAACGTTCTTCAAATATCCGAATATTATCTATTGTACAAAGTTTTTGTTAGCTAGAGTAAAAGAATTATTGCACCTCACCTCAAAGCCTGTAAAGAGTATAAGAATTTTCATTTTCTTGAGAAGAAGCAAACAGCAACCAAGGCGGTGATGACAGAACATCGGCTGATGTTACTGTTCCTGTCCTTGCGTCAATGCTCGCTGTGGCTCTTTTGGTTGTTGCTGTCGCTATTGTGGTATATATACTGCGAGGAAGAGGACTGATAATGAGACTAAGCAACTCTGAAGAGGTAAGCTAAGTATGATAAAAAATGGTACAGAAATCTGAAACGAGGGCTATAAATTCGACAACCCAAGTTGAACAAGTGGGATTCATCAAAAACAAACTTGCAGCGCTATTGCTCATGTTCGGAATATTACACCCGAATG